GGGTTCGAGACCCACCTGGGCAACTTGGTGAGACCTCCTCTCTACAATAAATCAAAAAATGAGCCGGGCGTGGGAGCGCGCGCCTGTAGTTCCAGCTACTCGGAAGGCGGAGGCGGAAGGATCGCCGGAGCCCAGCAGGTCGAGGCTGCGGGGGCCGGGAGCGGCCACTGCACTCTTGTCTGGGCGACTGAGTGAGACTCCAACTCAAAAATAAATAAATTTAAAAAATAAAAAAATAAAAAATTATTATGAACTCATGGAGTTGTATATCTTTGATGTGATTTGATCAATTGCAGTAGTTACTTTTTTTCTATTCTCAAATTGTTTTATCTAAAGCCAGAGGTAGGCCCTTGAAATTGGCTACTGTATCCTTTTTGACATGATCCAAATAATCTATATCTTTCTATTTCCTTGACATGTCAAGGTATATCAGGCCCATCTTGTCAACCCTGCCCCATAATTTGAGTAATCTATTTCTCCAAAAACAAAACAAAACTGCATCAGTGGAGGTATTTAAAAACGAGAAGCAGTCATTATTTCTATGGCATCATTACTTCTAGGTTTTTCAGTGGCCCAAGCTTAGAATCTCTTTTTTTAAAGAGAAAAATAAGTCATGTGTTCACACTCATAAGTGTAAAAATACAGGGTTTTTTGGTTTAATTTTATATCTACTTTTTTAAAATGCTGTAAAACTGCTTTCCAAAGACATTAATGTAATTAATTATTTGTCTTATTATACAGTCTACCTATAATAATTTCAAAAAAAAGCAATGTAAATGTTGCAATGTGAATATTGAAAATAGCCAGATTATTCTTGTATATATTTTCAGAGTATAACATAATGTTTTGATACACTTATACATGGTGACATAGTAGCTATGGTGAAGCAAATTAACATATCTATTAACATACCCATCTTTTCTCATAGCTATCCTTTTGTTTGTATGTGGCAATAGCATCAAAATCTACTCTCCTCTTCTGAGTTAGGGTCTCACCCTGTTGCCCAGGCTGGAGTGCAGTGGCACAATCACAGCTCATTGCAGCCTTGACCTCCTTCCACCTCAGTCCCCTGAGTAGCTGGGACTACAGTCACACACCACCATGCCCAGCTAATTTTCTGATTTTTTGTAGAAGCGGGGTCTCACTATATTGCCTAGGCTAGTCTCAAACTCCTGGGCTCAGGCAATTCTCCTCACTTGGCCTCCCAAAGTGCTAGGATTACAGCATAAGTCACCATGCCCAGCCAAAATCTACTCTCATCAAATTTCCAATATACGTGGAAACAGTTTAAAACTTTTTGCAATTCTTTTTGTTTTTAGAACTCATTCATTAAGATTGCATGACCAAACACTGTGTTTTAAAGTTATTTGAATGAATTATTTCCTTCTTTCGTCATGTCATCAATTTGATACACAGTTAAGTTAATTTGTTTCAACTTGATTCAGCACTTAAGGGATTCATTTTTTCCATTTAAATTTTTTCTTTTCCTTTTTTCTTTTTTTTTTTTTTTTGAGTTGGAGTCTCACTCTGTCACCCAGACTGGAGTGCAGTGGCCACTCCCGGCCACCGCAGCCTCGACCTGCTGGGCTCTGGCGATCCTTCCGCCTCAGCCTTCCAAGTAGCCGGAACTACAGGTGCGCGCTAACATGCCCAGCTAATTTTTGATTTATTGTAGAGATGAGGTCTCGCCAAGTTGCCCAGGCGAGTCTCGAACCCGCGGGCTGAGGCAATCCACTCACCTCATTTTTTAACTTTATACAAAATAATTAAAACAATACATATACTAGGAGAGACAAAAAAACAACAACAGTATTATCTTTTGGAGGGTGGGCCCCTTGTAGTATAGGCTTCTCTTGCTAGGTGTTCTAGGAACCCATCAGCATCAGCATACCAGCTAGCCTTGTTGTGAGAGGCTGCATTGCTGAAGAAATGTCCTGAGTTGTGGCAGACAGGTGACTGATTATTCCACCATGACAATGCACCTGCCCACACCATGCTGAATGTGCAATTTTTGACCAAAACCGGAATGAACCCCATGTTCTACCCTTCTTATTCACCCGATCTTACCCTGAATGGCTTTTTTTGTTTCCCTGAATGAAAAAAGTCCTCAAAGGGAAATGTTTTCCCTATGTGGAAAAGGTGAAGTAAAAAACAGCAGAATCACTATAAAGCACCAAAATTGAAGAGTTGAAAAGCTGTTTTGAGCAGTGGAAAAAATATCTCAATAGGTATACTACATCAAACATAGCGTATTTTGAAGGTGACTGAAGCTTAAACATGTAAGAATAAATATGCAATTTTTAATAAATAAATTTCAGCTTTTTGGGGTCCCCTCTCATACTTAGGAGTTCTTTGTATTAGCTACATTTTTCTGGGATATAATTAGCAAATATTTTCCTCATATTGTCCTTTTGTCTTTGACTTTGTTTATGGTATTTTCTTAACATGCATAAGTCATTTCATATATATATATTTATGTAGCTAAATATATTAATCTTCAACTTACTTTTGAAATTTGAGCCCCATTTATGAGAATTTTCCCATTTCAAGATTAAAAAGGAATTCATCTATTTTTAATCCAGGTGTATGGTTTGAATTATTATGTTTAGATTCTGTATCTTTTGGAAAACTATTATTTAGTAGTATTTTATTTTAACATATTAGGCACATTTTTCTGCCCAGGGATATAATGGTGACAAGACTAACAACATCTAGTTTCTTTCAGAGCTAATGCTCCAGTGAGAGAAGACAGACCATAAAAATGATTTCAGATAATGGTAAATGCTATAAAGTAAATTTTTTAAAATGATGTGACAAAGAGGAACTGAAGAGATGCCACTCTAATAAGATGATATTTGAGCTGACTTCTGAACCACAAGAAGAGGCCAGCTATATCGAGCTCTGGGGCAGAACTGCCCAGGCCAAGGAAATACTTAGTACAAAGACACTTAAGTACTTACTATGAATCAGACGTAATACCAAAACACTTCACCTACCTTATCTCATTTGTTTCTTACAATTCTTTGAGATATGTATAGATAGTTATCCTATTCTGAGTACGAGGACACTGAGGTTGGGAGATGTTAGATCAGTGGCCTCCTCTCAGCCTCCAGTGTAGCATTAAGGACTCAGACTGCAACCGTGAATCCTTGGTTTTATCTCTCCAGGCTTTCATGAGAAGGACAAGAAGCCATATTGTCGAAAGGATTTCTTAGCCATGTTCTCACCCAAGTGTGGTGGCTGCAACCGCCCGGTATTGGAAAACTACCTTTCAGCCATGGACGCTGTCTGGCACCCAGAGTGCTTTGTGTGTGGGGTCTGTATGCTCATTTATCTTTTGGATTTGGGGAAAGTCAAGGGTTTTCCTCTCTGGAAGGAAGAGCTGCAACTAGAAAAAGGGTTCACACTCCTGGATGAGGAATGGATGAGGGCTTCCTAAGGGAGAAACGAGTCACAGCATCTGGCTGGACACGGTGGCTCTTGCCACTCTGGGAGGCTGAGACAGGATTGCTTGAACCCCGGAGTTTGAGATCAATCTGGCAACATAGTGAGACCTTGTCTCTACAAAAAATAAAAAAAAATGGCTGGTTGTAGTGATGCACACCTGTAGTCCCAGCTACTTAGGAGAATCACCTGAGCTAAGGAGGTCGAGGTTGCGGTGAGCCAGGATCATGTCATTGCACTCCAACCTGGGCAACAGAATGAGACCCCAACTCAAAAACAAAAACAAAATACAACATCCATTGTGGACATCTGCTTGTCTGTTTTGCAAGTGAGCAATCTAGCCTCCATTTGACAAGGACCCAAGCAAAATTCCTGTGACTGGCAGGTAGCTGGTAGGAATTCAAGGCTGAAAATTTAACTTTACTGACACTTTTCCTCTTGACATATGCATTCCTTTTCTCTGTCTTCTCTCTACCCCAGGACTGCTTCATCAGTTTTTCTACTGGCTCTTTCTTTGAACTGGATGGACGTCCGTTCTGTGAGCTCCATTACCATCACCGCCGAGGGACCCTCTGCCATGGATGTGGGCAACCTATCACTGGCCGCTGCATCAGTGCCATGGGGCACAAGTTCCATCCTGAGCATTTTGTGTGTGCTTTCTGCCTGACACAGTTGTCAAAAGGCATTTTCAGGGAGCAGAATGATAAGACCTATTGTCAACCCTGCTTCAATAAGCTCTTCCCACTGTAATCTCATCTGATCAACAATCTTTTCGGGTCTCCTATAAAATGTAAACCAACAGAGGAAAAAGTAAATTTGTTGTAATATGTCTGCTTAGTAGGCTTATAGAGAAAGTAAAGGTGATGAGAAAATAAGGGAACTTCTGGACTTTGCATGACTAGGCTTGTGATCTTATGTTTAAGACTTTAAATCTTATTATTTTTTAATCAGTCACATGGATTTAGATCTGGGTCCTGCTGTCTGCTCCCTCTACAGATGTGTTTTCTACATGCACAATTCATTCCACCATTGGGTTTCTCCATTTTCACCGCTACCGATAGCCCTACTCAGATCCTCTCTTATTTGGATCTCATAATTGCATCTTTTCAAGCTTCCTCATTTCTCTGTGGCTCACTGTCTTACAATCACTCCTAAGCTCTTTGCAACTTCTTGCAGTGTATTTTTCTTTTTCAAGAGGAAGTAGATTTTAACTGGACCACTTTGAGTACTGACACCACTGATAAATAAAATGGCTTGCAGTTTTAATGACTTATTTGTCATATATGTTTTGGAAGATAAACTTTCGCTTCCCATGCTATATACTAGGCACTATGTGCAATTAAATTTGTATCATACAATAGGTGATTTTAAAATTTTAACCAGAAGAAATTAAAAGGAGAAACCCCTATTCACAAACCTTTCTCTTTAGTTTGGTTCCATAACCATTTTATTTTACTTTTTGGACTTAGGTAACTGAATTATCATAAAAGATGGTAAATCTTCTTAAAACTGTTTCAGTCTCTTTATTTACCTAAGGAGAAATTCTGGGTCTCCGTTAGGCACCTTACACATTCATTTTCTTTAAATTCTTAAGTTGTTTTTATCTTGTATAGTCTTGTCTGAAACAAATTTATTTCTAAAATAAAAATGAAATGTATATCTTCTTCAAGTTCACGTTTGCCTGATGAAGACAAATGGAATAACTGTTCTTAGAGCCTTTCTGAAGAAAGATATAAGAACATGTATTCTTATATATAAGAACATGTGATCTTTTTCTAGTTTGGATCAGGAAAGTTAAACCCCAAATAAAAGTTCCTTTTATTGTATAAGTTTATGTATAGAAAAGCTTGCCAGGCTATTCAAGAATCTGACTTTATGTCCTCTCTATTTGTTTATAAAAGTAAGTTCACGGGCAACCCCCTTGGGTCCCCTCCCACCATGGGAGTTTTTCTGTCTTCTCAGTAAATCCTGCAAAAAAAAAAGTAAGTTCACAAGGAGTCATTCTTCTGCAAAATAGATATTTGGCAAGATCTGTACTATATCCTTCTTACCATGGTCTTCAGAATAATTATATGATTACGTGTTACAACAAAAACCAGAGTTTAAGAATCCTTGATGATAAGTTACTAAGGAAAACTCCTTCACACCTCCTTCATTGAAGATATTTTTAAAAATAGGCCCAAATTTGATGTCTTTAGATTGGTATGAGAATTCTTGCCAAGCTTTATTATATCTATCTTCTCTGTTGGAATGGATAATAAAGAGGTTTTGAGAGTCATACAGAAGTGTTAACAGTTAATTCTATAAAATAGGAACATCAAATGCATGTAAGCTATGTGGGAGTCCACACAGACCATCTGGCCTCTCTATCCTGTTGGCTGGCTGAGAGTGCCAGACGATGCAGAGTACACATTCAGTTTCTAAACATCCTCTTTACGGTGCCTTCCCTTGATGATATCATATGCAGGTGTTAGCATGGCAATGCTCTGGTTGCCTTGGCAATTTGACAAAGTAAACTTGAGGTTTTAGCTTGTAAGAAGGAATGTTCAGGTGCTAAAACTTTTTTTAAAAGGACTGACTATTCTGAAATTTTAGTAAAATCTAAATATTTTTAAATGTCAGAGAAAAGCCAGAGTTCACTAAGGTGTAATTAAGAAGCTTCCTAGCAAAGAGAAAGTAGCAAAAAGAAAGGGAAAAAAATGTAAAGACATTTTCTTCCCACACTGAATTTAAGTGGTTATCTTTGCTCAAAAAGAGATACAGTTCAGGACCAGTACTTTAGCAACCAGGAAGCTACTCACAAGTAAAAAGTTCTCTTAAAAAAAAATCCAGAAATACGATTACACAAACTGATCACCACCTATTTATTCTTGGTTCTAAGTAACATCTAGGGTGTTTAAAAAATGAAACCCACCCTCAGAGGACAGAGGTTTTCCACCAGTGAGTATATATGTCTGAAAAGGAATATTTCCTAGACTTAGAACTCTATTCTCAAGGAGAAGTCCCTCTATTAGTTTGGCGAGTTATTTCTTGGAATATATAGAGAGAGCCCTCCAAGGTGATACTTTGATAAAGACAACAAATGTTTTTCCATACAAGTTCTTTCATGTGGTTGTAGCATTGTTGTCAGTCACAAGCTTCCATTTTCATAACCAGTAGGGGGAGAAAAAGTAAGATTTGTCCTAATTGTATTATCTTAGGTCACATGTCCACCAGTAATTTTTGCTGGGGGAATAGATTGTGCAGCTTGGCTTAGACCAAATGGAACCATTTCCAGAGTTACAGGTAGGACTAAGTTTCCTGAAAACATGAGGGCTCTGTGGAGATGTGAATACTTAAAAATCTGAATATTGGTAAGAAAGAGAAAGGGGGTAATGAATTTTGAGTTCATATGCTTAAAATGAAAAATATTCAAAAGATTCTGAATTTCTAGGTAATGTAGAGAGTACCCCCACCTGGGCAACTAGGCAAGACCGCATCTCTACAATAAATAAAAAAAAATCAGCCGGGCGTAGTAGCATGGGCCTGTAATTCCAGCTACTTGGAAGGCTGAGGCGGAAGGATCACTGGAGCCCAGCAGGTCGAGGCTGCAGTGGCCAGGAGCGGCCACTGCACTCTAGTCTGGGCAACAGAGTGAGACTCCAACTCAAAAAGAAAGAAAGAAAGAAAGAAAGTAAGCATTGCCAGTACCCTGAGGGAACATGTCTGAGAACTTTACAGAATCTGAAAGCAGAGGCAAGCCAGGAATTCTGTGTCCTAAGGAACACACAGCAGACACACAGGTCTTCCCTAGGCCCCCAGGCGCAGCACTAAGCAGCATCAAACAGAAAAAAGATCTTCCAGATCTTTAGAAGTGTTGTAGGCGTAAGCAGGTCCTTAGTGAGGGCAGTTGCATCAGCTACTGAAATATGAGACTGAAAAAGCAACTGCCTACCTCTAAAATATTGTTGAGGTATTGTAGGAGTCATTATCACTGCAGCACATGGGAAAACCAAAACTCAAAGGGAAAAATGGAAGTCTACTGGGATCCATGGGATGAAAAAGAAAAAAGTTCCAGATAAGAGCTGGTGCTTGGATTGTACTTATTGCAAATTTATCACTTTGCCACAAGGCAGCAGTGTCTCAAATTTATTCCACAATGAAGGAGACAGTGTATGTAGGCAGTTCCTTCACTTCATATATGATAAATGTTAGTGCCTAAATTAGTTTTCTGTGGGGATATGTCTCCTTACTGAGTTTAGGTTCACACACCATGGATTCTGCACAACTGCAGTGACTTCATAGCATCCTGGTGAGAGCAATCCATCTTCTCTTCTTATTCTGGTTACCATTAAATCTCAACAAATACTCTATTGTGGAAATAACATTTTTTTGCCTGGGATAATTACCCCAACTCCAGAGATAGATCAGATCACAGGTGCTGATAGAAAAACTCCTATAGCTGAGAACAAACAGACCAAGAACTCAAAGAAGACTTTGCTTCCTTTAAACTTTAACTCCGAGGAGAATTCGATTTTGGATTTTAATGTCTTTGAACTTTGATAGGCTATGTGGAATAATATGACTGGACATAATTGGAGACGGGATGCAAGATGGAATGACAGTAAATTTCTCAACATTTCTCCCACTGGTCTAGTTTTTCCACAGGGAACTGCATCACCAATTCTTGGTCCAGTAGGGTATTTTGTTCTTCTGAACTAAGGATGATTAAATCAGGGGTAGACATGTAACCCTAGCAAAACCAATTGTATTCTATCCTAAGACCTTTGATAGATTTATTGGGAAAGAGCATTCTTATTTGTTGAGCTTCTAGCTGTGGGGATAATAAAAACTCACTGCTGCTGATAAATTTTCTTTTTTTTTTTTTGAGTTGGAGTCTCACTCCGTCGCCCAGACTGGAGTGCAGTGGCCGCTCCCAGCCACCGCAGCCTCGACCTGCTGGGCTCCGGCGATCTTTCTGCCTCAGCCTTCCAAGTAGCTGGAACTACAGGTGCGCACTACCACGCCTGGCTAATTTTTTGTTTTATTGTAAAAATGAGGTCTCGCCGAGTTGCCCAGGCGGGTCTCAAACCCGCGGGCTCAGGCAATCCACTCACCTCAGCCTCCCAAAGGCGCGGGATTACAGGCTGAGCCACCGAGCCCGGCTCAATAAATATTTTTAATATCACTTAGGAGGAGCTCACCTGAATAAGAAGCTAACACAGAAAACTGAGTAATGGAGTGGTTGTGTCTTCTTTGTTTGAGCCTGTCAATTCTGCTATATCAGCACCTAAAGCACAGACTGGGAAATTATGTGAGCAAATAAATTCTCCTTTTTGTTGATTTGGGATTTTGTCACTGATTAATTGTGTAAGTAGAACAGAAATATTCTTTTATCAGTTTAAAATGTAGTGAAAGAATGAATAATTAAACGAGCAAATAGATTCTGTTGGCACAAAATGTACACTGCATGTTGTCATGAAAAACTAAGATACAAAAATAGTATTTGATCACTTTTCAATGCTTTTTACACCAGAGCACAGTGAAACTTTTTGTATTTTAAAGTTTTGACATCCTTATATATACCTTGTATATTTAGAGTACAAACTTCCTGTTCCTGTCCAATTTTCTAGTAAAATTGAAGAATGTGTGTCTCTATTACAAAGGGGGAAAAAAGGAGGGGGATGGTGCTGGCATCCATTAAGACTTAAAAGTGTTTTGGAAGTCATGTTATTTATGCTACTTTGTCTAATTCTCATCCCTAGAAAACTATTAAATATTTACTATTTCTACAGTGCTGTGTGTTTATAGTGAAAAATCGTTTTAAAAATATTTTATCCCACTTGAAAATGAAAAAAAAAGAAAAATTAGATGATTACAAATGAAAGAGACTTACATTAATCCGGTGTCTTAGTTGCTTAGCTGCCATAACAAGATACTCTAAACTAGGTGTCTTAAATAACAGAAATTTACTTTATCACAGATCTGAAGGCTAGAAGTAAGTCCATGTCAAGGTCTGGCAAAGTCAGTTTCTGGTGAGGGCTCTCTTCTTGGATTGCAGACAACTGCCTTCTTGCTATATCCTCACTTGGCAGAAAGAAAGGAAGAGAGAAAGAGAGAGAGCTGTGGTATATTTTCTTATACGGTCATTAGTCTTATCAGATCTTATGATCTCATTTCATCTTCATTATTTCCTTGCTCCAAATACAGTCACATTGGCGGTTAGGGATTCATTATATTTTTGAGGGACACATATATTCAACCCATACCACCCTGAAATTTGGTACT